TGGCAATTTACTAAAGAAAATCAACCCCAGTTGCAGAATGTCCTTCTGGGCTCTGACCATCAAAATCATTTTCTTGTCACAAACTACAACTGGAATTCTGGGAAATTTTTCTCTTCTTTACTACTACATAGTCCATTATGGAAAAGGCACAATAAAGGCCACAGAGTTAATTCTCATGCACCTAATGGCAGCCAATGCCTTGACCATTCTCTCTGCAGGAGTGCCCCACACAATAGCAGCTTTTGGTTTGAAGCACTTTTTAAATGATTTTGGATGCAGATTACTTTTGTACATTCAAAGAGTTGGCCGCAGTGTGTCCATTGGCACCACCTGCCTCTTGAGTGTCTTTCAGGCCATGACCATCAGTCACACACAATTCTGTTGTAAGGATCTGAAAGTCAAAGCTTCAAAGTACATTGGCTTCTCTGTTGCCCTCCTCTGGATCTTTTACACGTTGATAAATTTCATTTACTTTGTGTACCTGTTTCTCAAGAGGAATGATAAAAATACGACAAGAAAACGGGATTTTGAATACTGCTCCATTGCAGGGCGCGATGAAATCAGTGACTCATTCTATGCAGCGTTGGGGGTGTTCCCTGAAATCTGCTTTTCTTTGCTTATGGCCTGGTCCAGTGGCTCCATGATTGTTATTCTATACACACACAAGAAGAGGGTTCAACATATCCTTAGCACCCATGGTTCCAGAAGAACCTCCCCTGAGTCCAGAGCCATCCAGAACATCCTGGTCCTGGTATTTATCTTTCTGGCTTTTTACACTCTCTCCTCTATCTTACAAGGCAGCATAGCTCTTTTGTATAATCACAGCTGGTGGCTGGTGAACATCACTCGCCTTACTGCTTTGTGTTTTCCCTCTTTTGCACCCTTGGTTCTTATGAATCATTACTGCAGACTACCTAGACTCAGTTTTGTCAGAGTAAGGAATATAAATCACTGATTTTTATTTTGAGTACCCATCACTATCACAATATTAGTGGATGAATTTTGGGAAGTAGTTGCTTACCATTTAACTATTAACCAAAATGGTGCCTCTGGGTGTTTTGTCAGCCGGTTAAATTAAATGCCTATCTGAGCTCATCTCATTGTATAAGTTATATATTACTCCTCAACTTCCAACTCCCAGGCTTCTCTTTGTCTGGCTGATATACAAAGAATCCAGCAAAACAGCTCTCAATATAGCTGCCTTTTTGTGTCTTTCATTTTGCCAGGGCATCCTGGGTGTTTTCTTGTTTCACAGGGTTCTTGTGCTTTCTAAAGTCTAAGGGCAAGGAAAACTGAAACTATGACTAGCAACTGAGTTGTGTTCAAGTGACTGTTGCTCATTCACAAGTATTCAAGCCTGCTCCAGTACTAGAAAATATCTTCAGGTAAATTTTCCCAAATACCCCAATTTCAGCTGTACTAGAGATAATGAGTTTGGTTTACTCTGAAGCTTGTTGCAACAGTCCTCAACACAGTCTCAAAAAAGACCCTCTTCCTTACCACACAGTGAAAAAGAATAATGAATATCTTCCATTTCATACAGAAACAGATGGAAATGACTGATGGTTTTGATGTTATCTTGACAGTTTGCCAATATGTTTTGAGAAATCTTGTATCTATGTTCATAGTGGAGATTTTTTCTGTCAATTTCCTTCGTTGTTGCTGTGATGTGAGCAGATTTGTCACTATTGTAATGCTGTTTTCATCAAAAGAGTTTGGATACCTATTAATAGATCATTGTGGAAATTAGCTTTTTGATACCTTAAAAAACTAAAAATAGGACTACAAAATGATGCAACTCTTCCACTCCTGGGCATATACACCCAGAGAGCTCCATATTCTTCCATAGAGATATTCGTATATCCATGTTTATTTCTGCTATGTTTACTATAGCATGGAAATGGAGCCTAGCTATATGCACATAAACAGATAAATCCATGATATAATCTGAGTTCATGTACAAATTGGATAATTCACATATAGTGAAAGATGAAATCATAGAACATATAGGACAACTGATATATCTTTACTGTAAGATAGTAAACATGGCCACAGTATCTCATGTTGAAAAAAATCACATGTTCTTATTCATATGCAAATCATATCGTATAACGTGCAAATGTGCACATGTAAATTGTTAACTATAAATGCCATATAACATTTAGAAAGGAGAGCATGAAACTGGGTGGTGGGGTCATGCCCTTAATCCCCAAATTTGGGAGGTGCAGCAGATAGATCTATGTGACTTGGAGGCTAGCCTGGTCTGCATAATGTAGGCTAGGTCAGGTTCCAAAGCTACACAGAGAAACTCTGTCTCAAAAATTTAAAAAGCTGGGACAGCATGAAAGGAAATGTTAGGCACTGGACAGACAAGGGCATCCATTGGTTCTAAAGGATGATATCAAGAAAATTATTTTTCTACTTTCAACTCTGTCAGTTTTTCATTGTGTGATAGATAAGGACATGCATATATATATATATGTGTGTGTGTGTGTGTGTGTGTGTGTGTCAGTATAAAACCCTTAGAGAGCTTCATGGCTGCAGCATAGCTAGGATAACTGTATTGAAATAAATTGAAATATACTGAATTTGGGCCTGGGCAAGTGTTCCTTTATGTCTCTATTTCATTGTAGCTCTTTAAAGATTGTTTTTTGTTCATTAAAATAAATTTATTTTAGATTAAAATGAAGTGGCTTCACAATGCATCCCATGATATAGAATAGCTAAACTATGGCCGGCTGACAATTCAGGGCATCACACAGAGGGACTCAAAGACGGATATCATTTGATTATGTTATTATATCTTTCTTTTTTCCCTTTTATTGAAAATAATTATTTTGTTATACAACATCTCCTGATTACAATTTTTCCTCACTCTACTCCCCAGTTTCTCTCCACCTCCCCTTCCATGCTCACACACTTTTCCCCCTGTCATTACGAAAGAATAGGTTTCTGAAATATAACAATTCATAACAATATAAAAGATGATTTTATTTAAAAATATCTTGTTGAGACTGCACAAGGAAACCAAAAGCAAAGGTCCCAAGAGAAGGCTCAAGAATCAGAGACCCCCCTCTTTCATAAACTCATCATTCTCATAAAAGTACTATGTAGGGCAAGCTGTAGACTGCGGCCTAGGCCAGGTAAGCGCCCTCTCTCCACAGGTGCTCCCAGCTTGCAGCCAACCAGCTGCACCACACAAGCTCATCCAGCTGCCTTGAGCTGCTCAGAACCAACTGCCCAGCTGGGAGACATCCATAGACGTCCCCATGGTTACTGTCACAGTTTCTAGCTGCAGGCACCAGACTGTCTCAGTCTGCGGCAACCCATGTCTGGAGGCCTCCTGCCCTTAGCCAAGAGGACTCGGAAGTAGGCCTTGGCTTTCAGCAGGGTCCGCAGCTTCCCCTACAGTACTAAAGTGACATCTATAATATATATGCGGGGTACTAGATGAAAACCCTGATCAGTCCCTGTGTTTGTGACTTCGGTCTCCGTGAGTTCATAAGAGGTTTTACTCTATTGATTCAGTGGTCCCTGTTCTCTTGGTGTCATTCATGACCCTCTGGCTCTTACCCTCTTTCTGCCCCCTGTACGATGGGCTTATCTGAGCTCTGAGGGGATGGAATTGATAGAAACATTCAATTTGCTATCCCTGATGTCATAAATACTTTTTATCACATGCAGCATTCTTGATGAAGTGACAAGAGATACAGAGAGAATCCCTCAGCAAAATAATAGATACTTACTACAAACCTTCAACCAAGTGTTGGACCCAAGAATATTTATTATACAGAGGACTCACAGGTGTGCTGACCACTACTGGTGATGTTTAACCTTCAAAAGTGTCCACAAAGTCTCTAAATAGTACCAATGTTGGGAGATATCATGCATAACCCAAGTCTTTGAAAGTATTTTCTATTTGATTCATATCAGTAACAGAACAATGTGGGGAAAGCATCAAACATTAAGGACTATAAATGAGTGTAAAAAATGTAATTACCTGGGGAATACTGGACAATTGCATATCTGAGTAGGAAAAATGTGCTCCCCAAAATGATGAAGACCCTAGGTGTCAAAGGCATGTATTAGCGTCATAGAGGAGTTACAAATGCCTGAAACTTTAGAGCAAAGCACTAGTAGGCAAACACAGAGGACATAGCGTTTTGTCTAACATGTTTGGATTTGGAGGATGTACAGAACAAGAGTATGGAAGACACAGATGATTGACAGTGGACTCAATACTAGTGAGGTCACTGCTAAGGAGTCTAAACTAATAAAAACAGTCAGTCACTCATAGAGTTTGCAGGGTGGAAAAGGGACTAATTAGAGACTACAGAGGTATGATGAGATGTAGTGGATTTCTGGAACTCTCTATGGTAGAAAGATATTTGATGTAGGGTGTTGAAAATGTTTTCACAATGACTCTGTAAGACCACGGCAAGGGCGTGTTCAGGGTGACATAGGGGAGGTTTAGGAGTGAGGAGCATGCATGTGGAAGCCCCCTTCCATTTCGTCTTCGGCTTGCTATACTTACTCCTGCAAAGCTGGTTGCCTAGATGCTCTGTAAGTACGGCTTCCCCCAATAAATACCCTTATATTTTTACCTGACTTCATATTTGTTATTTCCTCTTTATCTGGTGTCAGAAGTGGTATCTTGCAAACCTAGGCCCCATTTGGGAGTGCCCGTGTGTCCCACAGGGACAGCGGA